TGTGGCCAGCTCAGCCCACCAGGGGGCGGGCTGGCTGGCATGTGGTGCTGGGGGATTGAACCGTGGTCCCTGTGCTTCGCTGAACTTGTTCTAAGTAGGTGCTTTAGACCACTGAGCCATCTCTCCAGCCCTAGATGTAATATTATATTTCTACATTTTTTGTAAACTCTGTAGGCAAAGTTTCTGAAATTATTAAAACTACCAAAATTATAGATATGGTTATGTAAGTGATACAAGTATTGCAAATATTCATGGTTTACTGACACTACGAGGCTCTAACACTACAATTATTTGGCCATGTGTAAAGCAGTAGGAATAATCTGAAAAACCTTAGGCCACATGTTTAGCTATTTACAGAAACGAGAACCACACTCTAAGCTGTGTAAAAAACATTATTTGTTTTAAGAGTATTTATATTGAAAATATATTTGGCCTTGCTTGTGAAAAAATAAAAATAATAAGTCTTACTGCCCAGGCCCGCTACAAGAGGAAGTCCTCTTACCTTTTGCTAACTTGGTTGTGAAGCATCTAAAATCTTGCAAGTTGGGAATTACAGAGAGGGAAAGAAGGCCTGGGCTATGCAAAAGTCCCTGAATTTACAGGTGGTCCTGAGGATCTGAAGAGATGGAAGAGATTTTGGGTGGAGAGGGGGCTTTGCTTGTTCGTGAGGTGCCCTGCACCAAAGGGACCAAGGGGGCGCCCACCGCCCATGGCTCTGTGGCTCTGGGGAAGTGGAGGAAGTGCGGTGTCCCAGGAGCGTGCCTGTGAATGCACAGGGAGCGGAGCCTGGTGCCAACTCACTGCTGAACGTGGCCTTAAAAGTTCCGCTTGGGTAGTTTAGGCAGGGCAGGCATGGAGCCTGCAGTGGAAGATTTTGTCTGGCTGCTTGTCTTGTAGGGGACACACACGTTTCTGTTCATCAGATGTCCTGCTCTTGGACTTTAGTGGTTAGCTTTGTGCTCTTGTGTGGAGTCCACCAGCCCACTCTTCGTGTCAGTTCTTTTTTTTTTTTAATATATATTTTAGGGAAAGGTCTACAGGGTGTTCACAGTCTCACTGCTAGATCAGACTCATAATGATCCTCCTGCTTGCAGCCTCCCAAGAGCTGGGATTACAGGCGCATACCACCACGTCCAGTCTTAATCGCCATCTCAGCGCGCCTCAGGGGCAGGGCCAGCACAGCAGGCCTGGGGATCGAACCCCCGGCCCCTGCACCTGCTTGCAGACACTTTAATCCACTGAGCTATTTGGCTGGCCCTGTGCCAGTTTTTTCTAGGAAACAGGATGTAAACTGGGTGGCTCGAGCCCCGCCGGTGTTGATACCATGCAGACCTAGGAAGGGCTCTTTCCTCACTACCCGTCATCCCTGCACCATTAAGCAAGGAAGGCGGGGCTGGGATTCCTGATTCATCAGCGTGGCTCGCAGCTGCTAACCCAAAGCCTGTCACATGGGGAGATTGTTCCTGTGTGGGCTGTTGTACGAAGTATGAACATCGGTGTATCAGTGATTCTCTTTTTTTAAGTATGAAAACCTAAGAAGAGTGGCTTTATTTGTTTATTTATATTTTTGAGTGCTAGCATTGTGGGTGAGCTCTCCCTCACCTGGCTAGAAGAGTAATTCTCATCCCTTCATTCCATATTCATCCTTGCTACCAGTTTTTGTGTGTGTTTCTTTTTTAAAATTAATTTAATTGAGAAAGAAATAGCAATGAGACAATTTCAAAATAGGACATTACAATTATTAATATATATTGTTGTCTTTGCAATAGTTATCCATAGTACAAGATGTAGACAGGATATCCTGTCCAAACACTATTAGTACAAATCTGTCTTATTGAACTAAGAGAAAGTAGCTATACATCTATCCTATTTTGTTTATACAGATATATGTATATATATATTTTTTCTCACTACAAAATGATACTTAATTTATATCCCCCTTTTTTGTTTAGTTTTGTCAGAGGTGGATATTCCATTGCCATTCAAATATTGTAGGTGCATGAATTCAGCAAAATAATCCAACATAGTCCAGTAGTCCATAATAGTGGTGGGTCATCTGCAGAACAGGCAATATAAGAAGTTGTTGACTTGAGCCTTTTAAAACTCAGCATATTAATATGGCTTTACTTTTTGTACCTCATTTTTATACTTTTCTGCTGGATGATGAAGACCAAGATAAAGCAAAAACTATATAACAAGAAATGTAACTTTTGTATTTGACAAAGTCAGTGAAATCCCCTCAGGATTTATCCTGAAACCCTGTACCACAGATTGTAGATCCTTTGTCAGTGTCAGCCATGTGGATGAGTCACGGCCATTGCTTGACCAGTGTGCTCTCTGTGAAAGCCTGAGAGAATGCTTTCTCTCCATGTGACTCTCCTTAGGCACACTCTACATCATCGATCACTTTCCTCTGTGGCCCCATAATCTCCTTGGTCGGAAAATTTGGGACACCACTGAGCTACAGGATGTTTCCCAATAGGATCACATAAACATACTTCCAAATTAGCCAATAGAAGTGCACAAATGCAGATGAAGCATGAGATATATAATATATATATAATAACACTGCCAATGCTTGTTCCCCAAAAATCATGTGTGTTCATGCCTAGAAGAGGGGAAATAACTTTCATATGTAGTGACAGGTGGGTGTAAATAATCATTTGTGTTTTGTTGTTTCTAGGGACTGAAAGCAGGGCCTTTGCCCTGAGCTATGTTCCCAGCTCTTTTCTTAACTATCATTTTTTATTTTATTTTGAGATCGAGTCTCCATATGTCACTAGTTGTCCCAAATGGACTCAAACATGATACTCCTGCCTCAGTCTCCCAGAGTGCTGGGATTATAAATGTGTACCAGTGTGTTCAGCTTGTGTTTTCCTTCCTTCCTTCCTTCCTTCCTTCCTTCCTTCCTTCCTTCCTTCCTTCCTTCTTTCTTCTTTCTTTCTTCTTTCTTTCTTCTTTCTTTCTTTCTTTCTTTCTTTCTTTCTTTCTTTCTTTCCTTCTTATTCTTTTAGATGATATTTGCAAATATTCTCAAGGTATAATGTGATTTTTGACTTATGTGTGCATCCAGTACTAATCAACTCCAGGTAACTAGCACATCCCAAATCAGGAAAGAGGTACAAGATTTTATTTGATAAGCAGAATGAATGCTGATGAACCTGATTTTTCACACAGTGTGTTTTTGTTGTCTACCTCTAAACATTGCCCAGGAAGTACATATCAGTACTTGTTCAAATAAAAAATAGTCTACTGGTCCTCAATGTACTTCTGAGTAACAAAATGTATTTAAATGAGTTATAATTATTTTACTCAGCAATAACCTAGGAGAGACAAGTGGAATTTCTAGAATTAGCCCACAAATTATTTTGCTAAGAAAGTAAAGGCCCAAAAGCCCAAGTAACAGCAATACACACACACACACACACACACACACACACACAAAAATACAGTGAAGTGGGTTCCTTTTTCACCAAAAACGGACTAGATGTGAGTGGTGAAGATTTCAAAGATGAATCACAAAACTCAGTAGTAGTAACAGTGAGAAAGTGAGGCCATGGAGCAAAGGTGAGAATTACCTGGTGACACTGAGGCTTTGCCTCTAGTCTAAGGGCATCTTTCATCACCACAGTTCATTGGGAACTAGTTATTTTTTATAAGAAATTTATTCACATTTAACAATTCAGAAGTTAGTAACTACATAATCTCTGTCAGGCTCGATCCAGCTGAAGTGTGCATAATCTTTGTGCCCTTGCTGCATTTGCCTAAGACAACTTTAGCCAACAGATTGCCAGGGCCTGCCTCTTGTTCACCGCATTGTGCCCATGTGTTACCACTTCTTTGTAAATGTGGCTTAGGATGTGGTCTTGTTGGAGGGAAACACTGCTCCATCATTAATAAACAGCCTTGTTTAGAAATAGAATCAGTTGGGAAATCAGGGTTTAGAAAAACACAAACCTTCCTCCAAGCTGTACAGAACAGTAGCATTATCTCTGTCATGGTTAGGTACTGCATCAGAGATGGAGTTTTGCTTCTTTGTACCTACATTGAGAAAAGTCTCACAAGCCTGAAATAAATGTTGATTTGGGCTTTGATTCCTTAGCACAATCAAACATTGATCCTGTGACGTAACTCTTGTTAATTAGGCAGCATTTCAGCCTCAGTGTTCAAGCAGTCCGATGGTTTAACCAGTTGACTGTTATCTCTGTTAGTTCTTTGTACTGTCAACACATATCTGCTGTGGAGCCCAGAAATTTATGAAGCAGCCTTTCAAAGAGATGCCTCTTACACTTTGAAAAACCTCTCAGTACCTTCTGTCCTGAATTTTTCTCCTCAGGTTGGTGAGACCAGATGTAAAAAAGTCTGCACTTCTAAGTCCGATCTGAGATCTAATGACTTCAGCATTGTTGGAAGCTTACCAAGAGATTTTGAGCTGTCCAACTATGACTGCTATGGAAAACCCATTGAAGTCAACAACGGCCTTGGAAAGTCCCAAGCAAAGAACAGCAAGAAGCCTCCGCCCGCCAAGCCTGTCATCCCAACAGCAGCCAAGCGAATTGATCTTTATGCCAGAGCGCTGTTTCCTTTTTGCTTCTTGTTCTTCAACGTTATATATTGGTCTATATATTTGTGATTGCCCTGTTCCATTTGTACAAAATAAAATCTCATTTCGGTGTGACCAACCTCATTCATAATTGCCAATCTGTGAAAACTTTTGCATTTTCATAGCAATATATTGCATTTTGGATGCCAGTTGCTTATACTACAATGTGGCACCTTACTTTGGAAGGCAGCATGAGCCTTTAATGTGTGTGCTGTAGTAATGATGTACATATGTATAGCAAGCATATTGCTTTAAGAATAAATAATGAGCATACTACGTAATATAAATTAAAACAGTTCTCTTCCATTAGTGTAAACTGCAATTACCTCTGATTATTCTGCTAATGAAGTATTGTGCACGCCGATTCCTGCTGCAGTCACCTGTCTAATGTATTAGTAGTGTGTGGAGCTCCTTCTTTGTAAGCTTCAGAAGAGACACCTTATTCTTGTATTATTTTACATGGAATTATCAAAGATGAAGCAGAGTCTATTCATAGTGCTTAAACTTTGTAAGTAGAAATATATCAGTAAGAAATTATGCGGGTTCTGTGGAGAAGTAAAGTCCAGAAAATTATTCATTTGTAAACTCAAATCGTTATATCTCAGTTGTCAAAATGCCAGCTAATGAAACACAGTATGCATTTTTGAAGCAGAGGGAAATGTGGACTTCTATAAATGCCTACTAAATTCTGGCTTTGATAATACAAAATTAAATAAGATAGATGCATCATTTAAACAGGATCAAAACCTTATTGAATCCACCTTGAAACTTAAGTGTATTTTTGTGGATTTCATTTGTTGGTACAGACTACAAAAAAGCATTGTGCCTTAAAAAGTTACACAAATTTTAAATTGGAATGTGTTAGTAGATATGTTACTTCAGAGCATTTTAAGGAACCAAGAGGAAATAAATCTTATATTACTAGATGTAATGAATTGGAAAGAATATCCAGTATCATTAAAATTTTAACTTTTCATTTCACTAAAATGTTTATGTGTATTTAAGAAAAATTAAAAATATTTCCTGAATTTATTTTTTATTTATTTGACTGTTTTGGGAAAAAATACCAAACACTTAAAGATTAAGTAAATTATATCTTTGTTGATGTTAGACTTCATATCTACTTATGTTTTCTTTCTGGCTGAAAGTCTAGACTACTGAGATTTACTTCTTTGATCTCATTCCAAGCTGAAAGTAATCACTGTCTCATTGTATGAGAATCCCCATTCCTAAAATATCACAGTCAATGCAGTGTTTCCTTTCTACCACTGGTGAAATGAGAACTAACAGTAACATGTGCCTAGGCCAAATGTGGCCGTTGGGAGAGCTGCAGCTCGGGGTTGGGACGGCCAATTTGGTGGGAGGATGTGTTAAATAATGCATTAAAATATTATGCAGTCGACCACATGCCATACAAGGCAATTTAGTTCACTGATGACTATTTGTAAAGTCCCCCATTGAAAATAATGTGATGGGATATAATTTAGTCCTCTGTAGTCCTTCAGCACCCCCTAGTTGCAAACCTGTAACCGTCTGTATGAGTTTACAATTAAGCTTACTGATGAGGGTCAAGAGCTTACTAAGACCCTTGATAATAGTGCTTTAATGAAACTATGTTGTGGGGGGCATGTCTTGATTAGAATTCAAAGCCTTTAAAATTTTATTCATAATAATTATACTTACAAGGGCCAGTGAGATAGCTCAGTGGATTAAGCACCTGCTTAGGCAAGCACAGGGTCTGGGGTTTGATCCCCGGCACCACATGTTGAGCTGGCCCAGGCCCTGGGTGCACTGAGCCAGCCACTGAGTTTGGGAGTGGTGGTGCCTGCCTGTAATCCCAGCTCTGGGGAGGCTGAAATGGGAGGATCATTATGAGTCTGAGGCGCATAGTGAGACCCTGTACCAAATACATTAAAAAAATAATTATTTATTTATTATATCATTATTATAGAATAGTTACTGAACTTAAAACATTTTCTTTGTTTTTTGCAAACTGTTCCTTTTGGGAAGTATGATCTAGAAATTCAAGTGGAAGGTGAAGCACACTCAAGGAGTCCTTCATGATGTAGAGTTGGGTTTGTTGGAAATAATGTCAGCAAGCATCTTCTGAAATGTAGCGTTGTAGCCTCTTCAATGAACGCTAATACCCAGGTGTAGGCATCCCAGGGTTACCTGTGTGTCTGCAACCTGCGCTGGAGCATTAGCCAAGGAGCATACAAGGAGTCCTGCTGAAAGTCCCTTTGCGACATTCCTCTCAGGCTTCGGCCATAACCCTGGGCAGTTCCTGCCTGGGGACTCTCAGTGGTGTATGCTTCTAGATTTGTGAGAGGTCCTGATGCATCCAATTCAGTGTCATTAAAATAAAAGTTAACAGCTTCTTCTCGCAATCTCTAGCTCTCTTAACGTCTGTCTTTGCTGGGCCTTTGCTATTGCAGTCACCTACTCAGCTTTCCTTCTGTGTGTTCCTTCAGGGCCTGAGTGTTGTGGTTTAGTGTCCTACAAAGGCCAGGTGTTGAGTGCTTGGTCAGCACCTTGTGCAGCAGCTACGAGTGGTGCTGGATCTCAGTGAGGTGGCTCCCCGGGAAGAGGTTAAACCAGGAGGCAGAGACAGTGTTGGGGCCTGGGCCCCTCTTCTCTCTGACTCTTGGGTTGCCAACACCTGAGGAGTGGCTCAGTGCTACCACATGTTCCTGCCATGATGCTGTGCCTGGAAACGGGCCCCAAGACCACAGAAGCCACCAACCATGAACTGCTGCTGCTGCTGAAACTGTGAGCCAAAAGAAATTGTTCCTCAGCTGAAGTGGACTTCTCACCAGTGTTTGCGGATCAGTGGGAGCTGCCCAGCACGTTCTTTCTCTTTCACCTCCCCAATCCTGCTGGCAGTGTCTGAGGAGTTCCCCATTCTCTTTAATGTGGCTGCATCTTGCCTGAGTATGCTGCTGTTACAAAACAAACACGGGCATTTAGCCTGAGCCTTGCTGCTCTAGCCTCCTGGCTCTAAACGAACCTCCTGTGCACTGCTGCGCACACACTCACAACTTATTCTTGGCATTGCCAACCTCCAGTTCATTTTTAAATAGGAAAAGCCACTTGCCATAATGAAATAAGGCATAAATGACTTTGCCTCTTAGGCCTAGTCTTGCGATTTCTTTTTTCTTTTCTTTTTCACCATTTAACATATGCTGAAGTTCTTTCTGGTTTGGAACGTGTTAAATCTAACTTTTGCCTTCCATTTTTGTGTAGGATGGAAATTTAAAGTCTTCTTTCCTAATTCAAAGGAACATTACAATAGACATGTTTGGTCACAGATGTGCTTCCGTTCGTGAGCCAGATGTTAGACTTGCTGAAATGAAAGATGTACACGTGTTCTGTTCTGGTAAATTCTACCATTTATCTCCCAAGTGAAGCTAATACGGGTTTTCCCTGTAGCATTTCCTTGGTTTCTCAGCGCTCATCTGCTACTCCATCTCATGTTGCATGTACATCACTTTTCTTTCTGTGAAATTATTGTGACATTATTTCAGACTTCCAAAAAAGCTTTGAAGATATCACAGAAAATTCCTTTGTATTTCTCATCCAATTTCTGCAAATATTAATATTTCTTCACAGTTTCCTTTTCTGCCATTACTCTGTGTGCATGAGATGTTTTTCTAAAAGTTTGAAATAATGTAGCAGATGGATTACGTCTACCAGTTTAGTGGGTTTCCTAAAACTGGAGCTATTTCTCTCATAAACACAGTGTGACAATGTATCAACACCAGAAGTTACTATTGACCAAGTGCTACAATCTAGACTCCTCATCCAAATCTGTCCATTGTCTGTTTTGATTCCCAGGACCTAATGCAGGCAGCTCTATCATTTGATGTCATGACAGTAATTTTTTTTTTTAAATAGAGCTTTATAACATGGTGTTCTCAAGATCAAATGTCTTTGGTTCCCTTGTTACCTAATAAAGCAAGTAAAACTTTTTCTGTCAGATAAAATTTACATGGAATTCTCTCTAGTAAACATTTGGCTTCTCTTTGCAGCTATTTCTCTTAACACTCCCCTCCCCACTTACTAATAATATTCAACCCAATGGATTATTTTCTATCGCATTGCTCTGTGATTGGCTTACTACACACAACCAACCCGTCCTGTTGAGCAAGTGGTTGGTTTAATGTTTTTCTTTTAATTGAATCAAGCTTTGACGTCAAGTGCCTCTAAACACTTCTCAGTCGTGTGTTTTATCCCACGTTAAGTGCTGTCCAGTCCTGCGATCTTATCTTTGGTGAACAGTGCCGTCGAAAGGCTCTCCATTGCATGCATGGTCTCAAATTAAACTGCTCCAGCCATCGCTCAGTTTGTCGTCTCCCACCCTGCGGAACCTTTCAGTTTATGGACATAATTGCATATAACATTTTGAAGTACCAGGCCTAAAGTGAGAAATACTCTGAAGTCTTTTATATAGACTTTCAATAATTTCATAATTTATTTTTACCTTGCTTTATAGAGCAGGCTTATTCAAATTATATTTTTACATTAATTGCATGTGTTTATGGATATATCAAAAATTTAGTATGTGTGCACTCGCATTAAAAAAAAATGAAGCTAGTTTTAACCTTTCAAGGGATTAAGGTCAATTTACTGAAAAGAAACAGCCATTTCACTGGAGTGAGACTGTTTTATGGGCTTTCAAGTGATTAGTACTGATTGAAAGTTTAGAAGTCATGATCAGGGTTGCATATACTCTGAGCATATGCTCACATATAAACAATATTTCATATCACAGTTCAATCCACTTCACATCTTTTCTACATATATTTGCACATACTTCCATATATGTGTATTATCTTATTAGGTATTTAACCAGCAAGGACAGTAAGAAATCTCATGAATTCCATTCTAATTATATTATTTATAATTCAAATAATAAAGGCGATAAGGAATGTCCTTAAATTTCTCAGATCTCACATAAATAACGAAGTAATTGTTTTTCAGCCCCTCAGAATATTACTGGAGTCAACGGTCGTGGCGCCCTGTACTGGGTCGTGCAGGGCTCGCCACAGAGAAGGCCACTGCAGGAAACAGGCCGGTAACCCATAGCTGGGGCTTCAGGGCACACAAGTCCCAGGAGATCTACAGGGCTTTTGCTGGAGCGCTGTCTCCTGAGCCGGAAGACTGCACGTCGTGTGTGAAAGGAAGGGAGGGGAGGGCAGGGGCCGGGCTGCAAGGCTCGTGCGCTGAGCGTCTGTCCTTTCCTCCTCGTCTTTCCCTTTGGGGCTGAACACTGCTCTGGACTTCACTCTTCGTGGCAACTTCTAAAGAAAGGTTTAGCAGGGAGCATCTCAGTCTAGCTTGGCTTCTCTAGGACAAAGGAAGAGGGCAGGAAGGGGGCGGAAGGGTGGGCACCAAGGGCAACTCTGGAAGAACCTCTTTTCCAGGACTGGGTGGCTGACCAGGCACACACAGTGGAAACTGGTAAACGTGCCCTGGACACTTCACGAGGTGGTGGTCTAGGCAAGCACGCAGCGGAAAGTGCGACGCAGCTTGTGGCCTCCAGTGATCCTCAGTCACCAGGGAGGGGAGGACAGGTGAGGCCCAGCAGGTAAGCCAGTGTAAGCGGGAGCAAACATGCAGCTTCTTACTTACAAGCATAAGAGGACTGAAGTTAATTGTTTTAAGGAAGAAGTGTTTCAAAGAACAGTAGAAAATGCTTCAATATGACCACCATACATCGTAGGATTCCAAAGCTGGTCGCTAGAAGGAAGGATATGATTTGTGAAGTACAGAAACTTCGCACGGAAACAACTGATAGTGCTTCTTTATTCTCCCGACTCCACTTGAAAGTGCCATTTGCGTGTAATTTCCCAGTTAAGGTCGTTAAAGAAATAATGAGCAGGAAAGCCCGTTTTCCTTCGCGGATGACGTAATGTAGTTAGCTAATGTTCCACTTCTTCCCCACAACCCACATCTGCTTTTAATCCTATAACTTGAACCGGGTTTTCAGGAAATCCCGACCTGCTGCCTGAG